CTACATAACGCAGCGAACACCCACTTACACCCCCCGCCCCGCCTCCCCGCGCACATGCCTCACAGCAGTATACACGCATGCTTTTCAACATATCAAACTTCACACAGGGCCCAATATAGAGAACACACTCTTTGTACACCTACAGTCCTTCCCCGCCATTTTGAGCATACTTGTTCACATCATTTACTTCAAATAAAAGGTTTCACATTGTATATTTCCACGCTTCCTTTACCACATACCTGCGTCTATTATTATACAAGTAATTAACCACACACACTCTATTCGAAACACAAGTAGATTCTTCCCGATAATTGACATGCTGAAAATCTTAAGAAGATGTCCCCGTCCCCCGCCCGGGCAGCTCTCCCTTCGTCCCTGCTCATAAAAGCCTCTTCCATTTCATATAGAGTCAATAAAACATGTTTAAGCCTAATTTCTCCACAATGTTTCGTAGCCATTTAGTACCCACACATGAAGAATCAAAAAACAGAGGTTCACGGTCTGAACAGAAACTCATCGACCAGCCATAATATCCTTACTGCAATGAAAACACACACATTTGCCCTAAGCATGTGTAAACGCACCCTCTTCTTTTATGAGGCGAAACATTCCCAGAGTTTTTGGAGCTATCCCAAATCCAGGATGTCCCGCTGCTCACATCCCTCTCTGAACACAAAGACTTCACCTCAATATATTGGGGAGGGAAAATATACTTTGTCCCTTCAAATTTAACACACATGAATATATATAAGGTGACTTTAAAATGAATATACTAGATTTAACTTTCCTGCCATAACACGTTACTTTAATACTTCAAATAATTCAAATAATCCTTCAGTGTGCAGTTTACTTTGACGCGGGGGTGAGCAGCAGAGGTGGGGAAAGGCGGGGCTATTGCCTCATCATTATCAGAAAATGATCATATAGGGCGTACACACGGAGCGTTGCGTATGCCGTTCTATCCACCTTGGGACCCGTTATCGTTTCCGCAGTTGTTTACTGTCATATTCGGTCATCCTAGTGTGGCCGAACGGTCTATATGACACTAAACATTCAGTAACGCAAACGACCGTTTTCGTCCTCGTGGGGCCGGGGCCTAAGGCCCCTCTGACGTTCACACTTCATGCTTTACTTGCTTTGCACTTGATTAATTTGAATTGTTTGTTTAAATAAACATCTTTTGCTAACTGTTGATATGGTGTGTCTCCTCTTTGTTGTGGCCTTTTGAGCCAGGTCATAACAGATGGACTTGATCCTGACCTATTCCCTTAGGACACAGCTTCACATTTACAATAAATGCCGGACATCATTTCAGTCATTGAAGTCTTCATTTTACCCCTTCAGCCGCTAGATACACAACTTATATGATTGAATACATACTTTTAAAAAGTCTTACAATTAATATCATAGCAGCTCAAATTGCAGGCTACTTACTCATAGCTATTGATAGTAACTAAACATCTTCATTACCTCTCAGAAACCTTTCTTTTAGAATGTATTTCTACCACATTTTATATTTATCTGTTTTGCTGTAAAAATGCTCTTCCATTTGTGTGTTTTTGACTTTAGAAGTTCCAGAAACTACCTCTACGAGAGATGCAACAGGTGAAGGAAATCAGAGATGTGGCTGCTTTGTTTGAACAACAGAATGGATATGGAGAGGCTCAGGTCTGGTCATTATTATTATATTTGTGGACATTGTAATAATGGTTACTTATTGAACCAAAGAAAGTATTAAATGTGGCCATAGTTGAAAGATTCAAATAGAATTAAATAGCACGTTTTACTAATTGTGGTCATATCTGGACTCTAGGTTGTGTATCTGGAGAAAGAGATTTACGATGAAATCTTGGTACAAAACTTTGAATCAGGTGAGTCTACATCCATCCCTTATTTTGAGATGTTATGTTGTTAGTAGTTTTGGTTGAAGCTCATATCATTCAATTAACATATGATTTTAAAAGTCTAGAGAGCTTCTACTATAAAGTATTCCTTCTGTATTTTCTATCATCTGAAAAAGCCGTCAAGACGGTTAAGAAACTTCAGGATCAAATGAACATCAGAAGGTATGAAAGACCTTCTACCTCAGCTCCGTCTAGTGTTCAACCTGTGGACACATCGGCTGCTCAACATCAGCTCGGTTCTGTGAAGGGCGACTACCAGGTCAGTCTGTTTGACATCAATCGGGTCTAAATGCGTGCTGAGCTGATGAAACAGATATAGCATGAAATGCAGCTGTTTTGATTTGTGGCTCTTTGGCAGCTGCATAACTGAGCAGTCTACAACATATTGTTTTGTGTATTTCATTTCAAAGGAGGTGAATATGGAGGTTGATGAGGATTCAGAAGACTCCTGCCTGACTGTTTCCAAAAGCAGCGTGGACAAAGCTGAAATCTTTTCAAACAAAACGTTTGTACCTTTTCAAATAGCTGCCATTTCCCAAAAAGAGGGGACATGCAAAACTGCACCAGCTTCATGTTTTAATGAAACCACGCCAAAGACTTCCATGCCAGCCAAATCAACAGCAGCCAGCTCCATATCCACCATGGGAGAAACTGCCAATGGACGTAGAGCAACTCTCTCCATCTCTACTGCCACCACCTCTGAACCAGCAGCAACCACCACCACCTCAACTGCATCCATCTCAAGTACGATGTCAACAACTAAATCTGCAACATTGCCCAAACCTCTGGAAAATATTACTGGAGCTGCAGCCAGTGTTACAGCTAAGACTTCATATAAAGCTGCCACAGCTTCTAACAAAGAGTCCATGGTAGTGCATGAAGCCGCCTCCAAAACTGCACCTGCTTCCAAAAAGGAAAACGCCTCCAGAAACTCTGAAAATGTCTCTACAGCTTTCTTCCCATCTCAAACCCATCCCGTAACATCTGTAGCCAATATTAAAATGGCAGTGAAATGTGATAATACTGAAACCTCTGTAAAGGCTGCAACTATGAAGAATTCAGTGGCTTCAACAGCTGATGTTGCACCAAATGTTCAAAAGAGTAAAGCGCCAAAAGCTCCTAAACTGAGCAGGCACACAAATCCAACCACAGAGCCATCAATTAACTCCACAACTCCTAAAGTTGGTAAGTATTCTTTTTTATAGTGTAAAACAGTGTGTTTTGCTATTGATATTATTTTAGAACCGGTAAATGCATAATCATTATATTCATAAATCAATCGCACTCAATTTAAAACAAAACGTGGGTCAGGGTTTAAGGCTTGCTTTATAATTTTTTTAACTGGTTTATTTTCCTTATTTTACCCCTTAAACACATTTAAGTTGACACTTGTATAAATAATAAAACCGTAATCATGTTCTACACTGGGATCTGGTATCTGTATTATATCATCGCCATTGTCCAGTGAGTTGGGATCTTCTTCCTGCTTTTTAAGGCATGATGATATAACGCACCAAAACAAGTGTAGAAAAGTATCGATTGTTTGAATTCATTACAGAGTTGTTTGAATTCATTATAATTGATCATATGAATGTAAGGATTTATAAATGTGCTTATGAGTTTACTAATTGTAGAAAAAGTGGAAGTTAAGTAAGTTTAGTATAAAGGCTGCAGAGTTCAGAGCCTTGGTTACCTTGATGAAGAGATGTAGGGGAGGTGGAAGAGGAAACCCTCTATATACACACACACACACACACACACACACACACACACACACACACACACACACACACACACACACACACACACCATACACACCAGCCGTCATGAAGTAACTGACACACACACTGTCACAAGACTTGTCATGTGTGGTTTAAAAGCACGAGTATGAGCATCTTCAAACCAGTTTGGTTTGCTCCTATGGACGGACTACATCACAGGATGACCTTGCCTGACTTCCTTCATCATATGAGAATGTGTAAGGGAGCATCTGAAACTGATAGAGAACACACTGCATCAAACATCGGGAGGATTAATCATTTACCAACCAGTTGTGGGTTACGATTTGGATTATCAAAAATCTTTTGCTGCCAAGACTTTAAAAGACTTGGCATAAGATCACAGGATTTTCTACTCGCTCTTCAGTTCAGCAGTAAGGGAGAAATTCCTAGCCCGGGTTATCTCCGATATAATCTTAACATTTAAATAGAAAGGGCTTTATGGCTTTTTATCCTGGTGCATATCAGTGTGAGCCACGTAGGCGTATCTCCTTGCCACCAGCTGGAACAGTTTATTTCCGTTAACTCTGAGTGGTGCCATTAGGGCTGATAACCGGACCCTTTCAACAGAGAGCAGGTCCAGTACCACCTCAACAGGGGTAACCTGGGATCTAACAACACAGACTGTTTGATAAAGTACTGTATGGTCTTTGTCTTGACTGTCTCTCTTTATTCTTCGCTGTAGGAATTCAGAAAGCTTTATTAAGAACAAGGGACGTGCATGTCTCCTCACCCTCAAAACACACTGCAGAAGTTTTAAGACAGAACGTTACCTACACCAGTCCAGCCTCAAGACAAGATGACGGTATGTTAAAGGGTATTTTTTTTCTCAGCACCATGTTTGAAATATATGCATATTTTGTATCTACATACAAATACATAACAATTTTACACTTGTACTTTTTGATAGCTTGTCAAACTCATGACTTGTCTTTGAAAGGAAGACATTAAATAAGGCACAGAAGTATAGCATTATATTATAACTGCAATTTTGTCTCTCAGGTATTTGCATGCCGCAAAATGAAGGTCTTTCTCCTGTTAACCAATCGGAGCAGATCAAGAATCAGCTCCAGACACGATTGGTCCAGATTCCAGGTGAAAACATACATGCTCACTGTGTTCACACAAAACCAAAGCCAGCTTTCAGCCTTGCATTGATCACACAAGCTTGACCATTGGATCATTTCTGTTTATTTGAGTCAAGTGGCTGAATCTGGTTGAGTACAGATTTTGCTGTAATTTATTTATAATAAAATGGATACAAACAATTATGAAATAACATAATGTTGATTTGTTTACATTTAGAATGTTGGATCTCTATGCTGATGAGCTTTGGCGAAACGGCATCACGCACATTTTTCATCTTTGTATTGACTTTGTAATCGTGTGTAAAATCACTTGTGATCTACGATAATACTTTATTGGTCAGATCGAGTCTGAAATTTGACTTGCGTCACAGCAGCTCCATGTGTAACATCAACATAGACAACTGTCAAGATACAATACATGAAAAACAAACATTTAACATAATGGCACAATCACTGAGAGAAAACATTTTCAAAGCCCTTTAGCGTGCATTTGATCTGGAATTTAGCTCTTTATTTACTGTGAGGATTGACTGGTGCACAAAGGAGTGCTTCAGTCTGACTTTATTGAATCGCGGGACCCTGTCTCTCCGATTAGATGGTAGCAGTTCATATTCACTCTGTAATGAGCTGTCTATTCTTAAATAAACTACACCTTTTTAATACATCGCTGTTCCTTATTCAGAAATTGAATCCAGTTATATCTGCATTCATTCAGTAGATATCGGTGCAATCATTGATATGTTAGGTATTGTTTTTATGCTAAATAAATTGAGTGCAGACTATGCTGTGTATACATTTTAATTATGCAGTGTATGACGTATATTTGTGTCATTTACACAAATATCCACAATTTCTCATTCTGACCTCCAGCAGTCAATATAGGGAAACATCAGCCTCCTCTTGCCACTGGCGCTGCAGGCAGATTCACCGACAGCCCAGATACATGCCAAGAGACCCGCAACACTAAACAGCAGCAGGCGAGAAGAGATCCAGAGTTAGAGGACTCGAGCAGGGAACAGCAGAACCAACCAAGATCCAGCCAGAGGGCAGAACATGTGTCGACACACTCGCAAGCACTCGCAATGTTTTTAACAGGTAGGTGTTATAAACAACATTAGTTGTGCCAAGTTTGGAAAGTACCGGGCCACAGAAGCTAGTCAATTTGAGTAGCAGTGTTACTTTGTTGAGCTTGGCATCGGCCAATCTTCTGCAATCTTCTGGCATTTTTTTTTCTTGTTCTCTCATCCAAAATACAAGTTAGGGGCAATAAGGTTTTAAGCATCGGAGGCGGGGTCTCGTTCTTTCCTATGAGAGCTGCTCATTGGCACATGAGGACAAAATGGCCCAACTTTTAAGAGAGCGAAACGTCACAGATTACCCGTCATGTCTGGCTGTCAGAGCAGAAGAAGCCGTATGTGCGCTCACAGAGCATGCGCCCCTTAAACCCTGCCCCCCGAGCTCCCACTCTCGGCTCACTAGAATGAATGGAGACAGAAAATAAATCTAGATTCGGCTTTTAGTGCATTTTACAACTTTAAGGACCTAATGATTATAATAAGGGCTATAAAATAGTTCATACTGGGTATTTTATTTAGTTTAAACAAAATTATCCGCTGATTTACAGACGTCTCTTTCCCAATGTTAGTCGATGGGGAGAAAGTATTTCTGGGCCCAGTGACGTCACGGAATCATACGGAAATTGTAGTACCGCAGTTTGGACACAACGAATATTTTCCTCAGAGTCCGGTGCACTTCCTGGGGGCTTGGTTTTGAGGCTTAAGCAAATTTACTTGATCAAAACGTACTTGTAAGGAACACTGCGTGTAAGCTACAGTCTTGTATACATCTTTGAAATTGTTTTCCATCATCATTAAAGTCTTATTGTACTAATGTGTTGTTATGGTTGTCACAGGGGAAAGCAGTCATTTGTCCACCTACTTGAAGATACAGGGAACTGAGCGTGGTGGATCAATCATAGGTGGGTTCAACCTTGCACAGCAAACCTTTTTCACTTTTTTCCATTCAATTTAATTTGTCAAGAGCATACGATATGTTAAAGCCAGCGTGTCACCCCCAGGTCTGGGCTTTGTGTGGGAGTTTCAGGGGATTTCTGTGAGCCCGTTTTACCTGTGTGAGAGCTGCAAGGAAATTATCATCCACTATAAGATCTGTGAACACATGAGGAGCTATGATCACCAGTTACAATACATTGTGAGTGAAAAATGGATTCAAAATATCTTTAAGAAGAAAGTGTTGCCCCCACATTTTAAGATGATATGCATGTGTTTTCAGTGGATGCAGCACCCAGACCTTCTACACTTCTGGGATCTTGATTTTATTCTTGAAGAGATGAAACAGGAAATCGTAGAGGGCATCGCCATGATGCTCTCTAAACGGGAGCCTCACTACAAGGTGGATGCACAGGTAACCAGTTCATGTTTCATGCATGTTATCTACATATCCATGCGGTAATATGGTCAAGATCCGGTGTAATTTATGATGGATAAGATATGTCACCATTGTGCTTCACTAGTCTAATGAAACAAGTTAATATACGAAGTGTTTGTGTCTTCTCTCACAAAGTGCATACTGCTGAGACCGAGGGCGTTTGAACATGTTAAGAGTCTTTCGTTCAGTGAAGGTAACAGAAACAGTCAATTTGCGACGTCTACAGAGTGTATGGTACATGGGCGTATGCTGTGTTAGGTATCAACTGTGCCTTTTGCTTTTTGCAGCTTTAAAACTGGTTGAAGACCTCAAGAAAAATCCTAAACTGGACTGGAAAACCAGCTTTACTGCACAACAAAAGAGTGAGTCCCATTAGCCAAGTTCAAGGTCTTTTATTTCTCTTTCACACAGCTTAACTAAAATGACAACCAATCAAAATGTTATATATGACTTTTGTCACCAGCTAACCAGAACCTGGTATAGATTGAATAGTACTTGTAGGTTTTTCATGGTAAATATCTGTCTCTTGTACATTTTAAGGTGTTTATTCACATTTGCAGTTGCTTTAAAATGTTTGTAGCATTTATAAACATTTTTATGAATTTTAAATGTGACTTCAAACATTAGTTATTCTTGTCTGAAATTGAATAGGGCTCTGATGCTGACAATAAGCCAGGGCCCACATGAGGTAGGTAAAATAATAATTGAACCACCACAGGGTGTCCGCAGGGTCTTAAAAAGTATTAAAAGTAAGAAAATTAAGGCTATTAAAAAGTATTAAACAGCATTTTCCAAGGTATTAAGAAGGTCCACAGCAACGACAACATGAAACACCCTTTAATTTACTGCAACAACATGTCGGGAAAGCCCCTCAAGGCGGCCCCATGCGCTGTAAAATTCTGCTTCTTATTTTAAGTTTCGTTGCCTTGCTCCGTCTGGGGGGGGGAGAGAAAGAGTGTTTTGGGGGCGCCACTGATGGTGATGAAAGCTGGTTCAAGGGGCCCACAGACTCTAGAATCGCCACTGTCGATGGGATCAAAGCTGTCCGTCCCACATGCTAAGTAATAGCCAGAAAGCCGCAGCGTTTAAAGGCCCTGACACACCAGGCAAAAATCGACCGTTTTCGTTAGTCGGACGATGAAGCGTGTCCTGTGCCCTGTTGGCCTTTCATGGCTGACGCATGGCCGAATTCAACATGTTGAATCGGCCATGCGTCGGCCACAGGCAGTCGGGACAAAGAAATCACTCTGATCGCTTCCGCCTCTTGAGAAACTCTTGCTTGAGAATGTCTTCCACAAGTGAAATGGAACGCAGACACTATTTTTGTTTTTTATATCACGCCAGTCTGTTCTTCTCTTCTCTGTCCTTCCGGTGCTGTTGCCTCTTTGTGAATGATGAAACACACCTACTGCTGGTAAGGAGAGATTATTGCGCACTCACGCATGAGCAGTTCGGTACGTGCTCGGCCGAAGTTTTTGCGGTGTGTCTAGTTTGAACACATGGCCAAGACGCCAGGAAGAACACGGGCGACGCAACAGCGGCGCCGCGAGGACTGCGTGTGTCAGGCCTTCAAGTCCCGACTCTCCCGATAGCCAATCCCGTGCAATCCCCTATGACGCACGTCGCTGACACACACCACTGCAGACCTCTGCATGGAGGAGCAGCGGATCCGGCCGATACGCTCTCCAAGGAAGAGACAACGCGTTCACTAAAGGCCCCTGGACACACCAAGCAGTTCCACCAGAAAATCGCCGACGCGACTGCGTTGCGTCGCCATGATCTCCTGTTGGTCTTGGCCATGTGTCCTCACTTGGAACACACCGCAAAGACTTAGCCGAGCGCGTACGAAGCTGCGGCATGCCGGCATAACTCTCCTTACCAGCAGGCGG